TAAATATATATATATATATATATATATATATATATATATATAATGTCATAGTAAGAGAGAAAATTTATAGGTGTTAATTAAATGTGTACAATGTTAAGGTGCTTACATATAAGCATTAATTCTTTATTATTATTATTACTAGTATTATTTTTTGTTCTTGGCCCGCTTGAGCCAAAATTCGCCCCAGATTATGCGTATTCACATGATCAACTCATTTGAAAAACTAAAGTGTTGTAATAAATTCTTCAATGACGATAAGACTAATGAACAATAAAAAGTCAAGGAAGTGGGAGAAAAAGTTGATTAAAAAAGTGGTTTTACTTGCTTTTGTAAGTGCATAGAAAGCTTTTTATCCATTAAAATAAAGGTCTAATAATCATGTACCGTCAATGATTGTTATGATTTTTAAGATAATTATTTTAAAAATCAACAAGTTTATTATAATGATAGTTTGAAATTAGATAATTGCATAACACTGTTTCTCACTAACGGTGTTAAAATAAATTGCGATTTTCACCCTAAAAGAAAAGGAATTTGAGCCAACCACTTAAAAATGTCGCCTAATATTTTTTTTTTCATCAATTCACAGCATAATTAAATCTCTTGTTGGTAATTATCAGAAGGGTGAAACTGAAGTGAGAAATGTTATAAACATTCTTCGTTAGTAAACATAAACAAGAAGACTAATTCATACCAAACAAACCGAGAGGAATTGATACAGTATCAATTTTGCACGATAGAAAGCTTCCCAATCTAATAGCTATGACTACCACAACTTCAATCTCAAAAAGAAAAAAGAAAGGGCAACTATATTCAAGCCTACAAAAATTTCAAATGGTCGTCATAGTTGTGACTAGTATACCACATGTTATTGAAGTGTACACATTTGTTGGTAACAAAATTCGAATTAGAAATTCTACCTTCCTGTACCACAAACAATCCTGTGTGTATAAGAACCTTATGTACATCATGCAAAACAGTGAGTTGATTGGTCGTCTAAGATGGTCATTCTGCAGGTACTTCATCAAAGCCAAAAGTGCAACATTGCCTGTTCATAGAAATTTGCATCATTAATTCTTATTTCAAATGTCAAATGTAAAGAGCACAAATAATTCAAGACTTCATCAAAAGCCTGTCCCAACCTATCATATCCCATGATCATCACAAGTATTGTAAACTAATACCAAATGTAAAGTATATTCAGATAATATAACACAATTTTTTTTCTCTCAGAATTGAAGGATAAGAAAACCACCAGATTATATTTTAGTCTTTTACCTCTTGGAGAGAAGCCAAAGACATATCAATGACATCATCCTTAGGAGTGGGTTTTCTGGTTTTCAAGCCTTTCACCTCTGATTGTATTAATTGGAGTTGACTTTGTATGTCCTTTAACAGCCTCAACTGCTCTTCATCATTCCCTTCTTCGGTAATCTCTTGTCTTGCACTAACTCTCTCCCTCTCAAGCCTCTCAATTCTCTGTTTCAGCCTTTGAAACTCACCTAGAGAATTGCGATCCACAGCCGTTCCCTCTTTTTTCTGACCAATGACACTCGTCATATCCTTAGCACAAGGAGTTTTTATTTCACGATGTAATTTGTGCACACCCTTCTTCTTTTCTGCACCATGTTTCACATGTGGTTCTACCACTTCCTCAGACAGCGAATCAGGTTTTGTTAATCTGTTATCTGCATCATGATTCCATTTCTCAACCACCTTTTCCCCCACTTCATGCTTTTCACTAGCTTCTGGGACTTCATACACATCATGGACATTAAGCAAGCTAGGAGAATCATTAGCAACTCCTCTATTGTGTGTACTTTCACCTTGCCTCAGTTCATCTAAATCAGTGGTAGCCTGAGATAAAATTGAACAAGACCTCCCTCTTCTACTACTCAAATTCACATTCTTATTATTATCTCCTTCAGCACAATCTGAAATCATCCTCACTTGTTCATTCAACTCTTTTATCTGGTTGAAATATGAATCAAGGTTTCCACTACCACAAGCAAAGTCAACAGACTTCTTACCCGAGCTAGGTTGAGCAACTTCCATGTCAGTGCCCTCCTCCAAAATCTTGGGAATCACATCAAGAACAGGACTAGGTGATCTGTCCCTCTTTCCAGCAGCTCTCAGGGAACTCATAATCTGCATTGTAGGCATTGATTGAAGCCTCCTAACACTGCTACTTTGACCCCCATTTTCTCCATTTCTCTTATCACTTCTATTCAACAGAAGATCATCTTGCCAATCATACTCATAGCCCAAGCTCATGAGTTTGTGTCTATAAGCCTGGACTTGAAACTCCAGACATGCAATCTGCATTTCCTTCTGATACATAAGATCCTCAAAGGCCTCAAGAGAGGCCTCAGCATGCCCTATCTTCTCCTCTGTCATTCTCTTGTAGTGACTAGCCTCCATCTTCACCACAGCCTTCTCTCCCTGCAAACGCAGTATCATGTCCAACGCTTCACTCGCTGCGGTTGCCGAAGCTTCTCTTTCTTCATCCAACTCAGCATACAGCTTCTCCAGAAGCTGCTGCTGCGCACGGAGCGTTTCCCTCATTACTGCTACATCACTTTTGCTTCGAGATATCACAGAACCCTTCATATTCTCTGCCATTATAAACCTTGATTCTTAAACCTATCACCAATCCCTGAACACACAACATAAAAATTCAATATTTCAATCATCCTTCACCTACCCTTCAACTTGAAATTGCAATCATTAAAGAATCATACGGGGTGAAATAGTCGTTATTTTTTGTTTAAGACTTGAGAGATCAATTTCAATATTTTCTGATAAAATATTAGCAGAAAGTGAAATGTTGTCACTGAACCATGTGATGTGAACATAGTGAATAACTAAAAAAATGCACAAAACCCACGAAAATAAAGAAAGCTTGTTTAGAAAGTCTACTGCTACTACTCCATGTGCCGTGTCTCAATTCTCAAACACATCAACGAAACAAGTAACCTTCGACCATCAAATAAAAAACCCAATTGCCAAATTCCAACGAAGAAAGTGACCCAATCCATTAACACATATACAATCCTTAACGAAGAATAAATCGAATAGAGAAAGCAACCAACAACTTACCAGTCACCACCGCAGAATCTCAACACAAAGATTAAGCACTTTGAAGTAACGCAAATGGGATCGCCGCAAGCAAAAGGGTGTTTTGGCCTGAACGAAAAAACAAGCAAAAAAAAAAAATACAATAAAGAAAAATAAAAAAGATTGGTTTGCTTATATATATGGAAATGAAGTAGAGGGTACAGAACTAACTGTACACGTTTTCTTTCCTTTTTTTTTTTATGAGTTGTGCACACGGTTTTCTAACAAGGAAAAAGACCTGCGACCAAATCGAGAATATATGTATACCTCCCTGAAATGGATAGAAAAGAAATGGGACAACGATGGAAATCTCGCAGTGGAGCAGAAAGAAGCAATTTGCTGCGAAATTGGGTGAAAAGTAGTGAAGGGCCACTATATAGTTAGCGTGTGTCAGAATCTTGAGAACTAAGAAGAACTAAAAAGCGTGGTTTTATTGGTGTTGGCTTTTGATATTTGTGCGCGAACTGAGTGCACCAAGTTAAGCGCACAGGAGACACCGGGAAAACAACAGAGAGTGGCTTTCGGTTTCCAGTTACGGACAAAATCATGGTTCGTTAACGTCTTGCGTTCGTTCTAATGCTCTCCTTCATTTTTTGTTTTTATTTTATTTCCGTTTTTTAAAGTCTTGGTATTTTTCGTTTCCTTGTATCGTAAATTCGTAATTAATGGATTCTGATTCAATATGTGTTGGCTTGTATTAGACTATTAGATTGGTCTGAGTTTGAATGGAAATTTAATTTTAATTAATTAATTAATTAATTAATTTGTAATTGACTTAGATTTTATAAATTCTTTTGTTTAATTCTAATTGAATAAGTTATATGTTAATTGAGTTGTTTTGGTTTGAGTAGTTGAAAATTCAATTAATTTTTTTAAAAAATTAAATTAATTTCTTAAAAAGTAAATAAATTTTTTAATATTAAATAAATTGATGTATTATCAAAAATTAAATAAATTGATAAATTTATAATATAATTTTCATGAATTTTTTAATTTATTTAAAAATTTCAAATGCACTACGATATGAGTGAAAATTACACTTAATATATTGTAATATAATTCGTTTTAGTTTCTTTAAATATTTGAAAAAATAAATGAAAAAAATATGGATATTATAACAAAAATATTTTCAAAATAATAAAATAATGTATACATATTAATTGTTAACCAAATAAAAAATATTAATATATAAATTAAACTATGTGGTTCAGATTGATTTTAATTTTAAATGTATAAATCTAGTATTTGAATTAATCAATATTGGATTTAATAGGTTTGGTTTGGGTTGAACTCGAAAAAAAAAAATCTAAACTAATTTAATTGATTCAGTTCGAATTGTTATGCTCGTTAAATTGATCCAATTCAATTAATACTTCTACAATCCATAAATGGCCAATTGTCATGTTACTCTACTTTTTAATGTTATTTTTTTTTATTTCTTAATAGTTTTATTTATCTCTCAATCAAGTTATATTAATGTAAGATAAAATCTTAAGACATTTATGCAAAATAAAAAATACTATAAGAGGATATAAGTGATTTAAGAAGAGTTATTAGAAAAAAAAAATTATGTTATTCTATCCTTTTTATTTATACTAGTAGAAGAAAGAGTGTTTCTCAATTTTTTTTTAAAAAGATAAATTAAATGGTAATTGTTATTGATATTTGTTGGTCCAAATGATTCATCCTCTTGAATTCGAGTCTTAAATTTGATAAAAAAAATTAATATTATAAAAAAAATCTTAATGTAATTAAGGTCTCAAAAGAGACTAATCTTTCACGATTCACTAATTTATTGTATTTCTTGGTACAATTATATATAAATTAGTGAAAAGCACGCTTGTATTTTAAAATGGAAATAAATAAATAAAATAATGAAGTAGTGAAAATCGAGAGGTTTGAAGAATGAAGTTTACGGATGAAATAGAAAAAATAAAAGTGAAAGAGAAAACGTGGTTCAAGAGTATTAAATTTGATAAATATGTTATATTTATATAAAGAAAAAATGGAACTTTATGACTCATTAAAAAAGAAAATAATAATTTTCTTATAAAATTTTTTAAGATAAATATAATATAAAGTTGTAGAATATAAATAAGGACAAAAGTATTTATATAAAAGTGAAAATCAAACAAAATTATTAATGAAAGTATCACGTTAATATAATAATGTAGATAATATTTATAGTATCACAAAAGTTAATTATATACGATATTTACTAAATAAATAAATAAATTCATACTATATAAATTTTTTTTACTTTATTTGTATTTTTAAATACCATATTATATTTAATAAAAACACTAAGTAATTCTATACAAATGAAAGAACCATTTCTTCGTGTATTTACAAAAATAAATGTTTATAACATTAAATATTACATTATTTTTCCTTTTGTGTATTTTACTTTAATCATATATTTTAAATTTATATAGATTGATACGAAAAGTAAATAAATATATATTATATTTTAAATTTTAATAATTATAATATACTATTTACTAAATATAATATTTTCTAGTGTTAAAAAAGGTAATTGTGTTTAATATTTAATAAATTAATATTGTATAAGGAAGAAATTACTATATTTTTAATTTTATTAAAACTATATTATAATTAAGAAATACGAAAAGTAACAATATACAAGGAGAAAATTTTACTCATATATTAATATATTTATGAAATATTTTATTAATAACATTAAATATAATATATATTTTTGCCTCTGTCTATTTTATTTAATAATATACTTTTAATATATATAGATTAATTTTAAAAGTAATATATTTAATAAATATATTATATTTAATAAATATAATATGTATAATTAAGATAGAGAATACATGTACAATAAAGAATTAATATATTTTTTATTTTTATAAATACTATGGCAGACAATTTATGTTGATGGCAAATCAGTCATTATAATATTTTTCAAATTCATAAAAATTAAAAGCATAATTATAAGATAAAATTTAAAATTATAAATATGTATAAAAAGTTAAAATTATGAAGAATATATATTTAATTAATTTAGAAAACATAAATTTTAAATTAAATAGCAAATAAGATGTGTATTTTCAAAGAAAAAAAAATAAAGTCACTCTTTAAACATTGTACTATAATTTAATATATATATATATATATATATAATTATACTTTAACTTAATTTTATAGAATAAACTTTAAATTAAGCCATGTACTGTTTTTTTTCCTGTGAAAAAGGCCATGTACTGTTAAATAAGTAATATAGTGAATTACCTTTTTCTAAAATATGACTACCAATAAATTTCTAATATTATTTATTACTTTGTTTAGAAGATATTATTTATTACATAAAGATCGATGAAATCTTTGTTTCTTGAAAGCTCTTACTAAATCACCGAAGATCAAACTACAGATATTTTTAAAATTTTGTACACTTCTCAATACATTAAACTATAACCGTAAAGAAAAAGAAAATTGAATATATTTTTAGTCTTATAGATATAATTTTATTTGGAGATGGATAAAATGAATTAAATTCAACTTATAAGATTTACATATTATACTTAAAAGAAATTCGTCTTATAACTGAACTAATTAAACTGCATATTAGTTTAAATAAATTAAATTAAATTTTTGGTTTATTTCATTAAATTGCTTTATAAAAGTTTAAATTGAAATATAACTTAAATTTCTCTGAACTGTTATGATATTTTGAACTGAATTTTTTTGACCCATTGATTTATCTTGTTTTAATCTTGTAATTTATATTTGTCATTTTTAGATCCCTAAAATTTTGTTAGTGATCACTTTTATTCATTATCATTCATTTTAGTTAGTTTAGTAATAAAATAGCTATCAAAATATAGAATGTTGATTAAGATAATTAAGGTAACAAATAGACCCTCTATACCATTTTAATTGTTGACATTTTTTTACTAAGATTTTATTTTTATTTATTTGTCATTTTTAAAATTTAAGACTATTAATTATTGGTTTACCAATTATATTTATATTTTATCTAACTTTTAATTAATTTACACATACAATTGACATGTATTTATTACAGAACAAAAATGAAATAGGACATAATAGGAAACATAAAATTATTGTATAGAAAAAAAAAAGAAATTTATTATATTTTTTGATTTCTGTATATCTTTAAACGACTATTAAAAAAAAGATCAAAGATAAAATATTTTATATTAAGATAATTAGATTAATTATGCACATAATTTAATTAAGTAATATATTTATTATTTTATATGAATAAAATAATTACATAGATTTTATCTTTAATTTTTAATTTATCATGAATGAATAATTGAGGAACGGTAACTGAACTTGCTTACGGCATCGTTTTAATTGGCCACAGTGAAGGATAGCACGACTGCTTTTGCCGACCACCTGATTTATATACATAGTCAAACATTACGAGTCAACTCCTATACACATGCATAGATTAACTATTCAATCTTCATATTATTCAGCTTTAATAAAAACATTAATATCTTAGCACGTAAAATACATAAATTAAATATTTATTATATAATTAAAATTTATAATAAATTATATATAAATAAATGTTATATTTAAAATTTATATAAATAGATACCTTAAATTTATAATAATTAATTTATATCGTAATATAAGATTGGATAATTTATTTTAAAGTATTAAATTTAATTGATAAATAAAAATTGAATTAGATAAAAATTAAAAAATTCTTATAAATTCTCATCAGTTAAAAATCTTTAAAAACGAAATAATTATTTGTATTTAATATATAAAAATTAATTATAATATTTTCATTAAAATTTTCTAGCTAATGTTCTCTTTAAAATTAATTAAATAAGTATTGAAAAGAGAATGTTAAAGGAAATATCTTCACTGGAATTTCTTTTAGCAGTTGGAAAATGGATCACAATAAAAGAAATGTTATAATCATAAGGTTGATAAAGTTGAACAAAGCAAAATGTGATCGTGAAAATTTTCTTTGTCACAGTAATGGGACTTTGACAGTTCACCAAAAATAAAAGCTTGTTAGATACAAGAGAGGGACTTCATGCGGTGAGCCTATATTCATTAAAGAATGTTAATGTTTCCCTTCCGCATTCATTTAGAATCTTTCAAATTTCATAAATGCACCTTTAATTTGTAGATCATGTGCAGTAATGAATTTGTAAAAGTAAATTGATTTACAAAATTGAAAAAAACTGTGAGGAGGAGATTTCAGTCTTGGAAGATGAATTATTAACTTTTGATTAACAAATACTTTAACAAATTTTTTTTTGTAACTTTAGTGTTTTTTAAAATAAAATTTAAATTTAAATTAATGCACTTTCATTTCTTTTCCTGCCACAGATTTTATTGAATTAGAGGCTAGTTCACTATCAAATTTTATTAAGTAAATTATTGTATTGAAATTTTAATTTTGAATAATAAAAAATAACATTAAAAAATATTTATGGTGTTATAACTAAGTTTTATCTAAATAAAATATCAGTTATTAATGCGCAAAAAATGTTTAGCAATACAATAATATCTATTTACATCATTTTTGTTAAATTGAAGCT